TTAAAAAATCACAAATGTGATATAAAGCATTTTAAAAATTGTATAAAAATACAATATAACATTATTTAACATTATAATAGTTAGTTTTTTTTTAAAAGTAAACAACATATTTTATATAAAATTTGTATTTTCCTCTTTTATTTTTTGTTGTTGAATAAAATGATATTTTAATAAAATATAGATTTTGATATCTAAATTAAAATTTATTCAATATTTACTTTTCTTATATTACAATAATAGAAAATAAAAATATATATTTATATTATTGCAAATTTTTTTACTATAGCTAAGTTTGTTACAAATAGTACTTATTAATGATTAAAATATATATTATATTTAAATAAAAGTGAATGTATACAATACTATCAATATTGTATAATACATTATATTATGTATATAAACAAAAACGGTATATATATAAACACACAATTTTTTGTTGTATAAAATATTTAAGAGTATATAATCATAAAATATTTATAATAATCAATGATTAGTGATATTTAATTATAGACACTAAAAAATAAGACTCAACAGTGCCTTCAACTGTAAAAATAGTTTCTCTCGACAAACAAATAACAAAAAAAAATATTTTTTTATCTGATCCCATGTTACTCAACAACAACAACAATAACAGCACAGTTACATCACTTTCATCCCAGAGTATGTTAAATGAGATTTAATAGTAGAAAAAATAAATAACTAAAGAGAGAGAGAGAGAGAGAGAGAGAGAAGATTAACTGACAAAACAAAAAATATATATATATTACAGTAGTTTTCAATTGTCTTATCACTCATAGACACACACAGTATTGATAATATAGTGGGAAAAAATAAAACAACTAAATATAATGTACTGTATATACAGTTTAATAGAGAATTAAAAAAATAGACAAAAAACTACTACTAAATTACAATACACTTCACTGAAAAAAAATAATTTTAATACTTTTTTTTACCCATACTATGACTTAAAATATAGTAAAAGTTTGTTATATTACTAAATACAATTCAATTAATTGAATATTTAACCAATATATTCGTTGTGTAAGTAAATAATAATAACAACAAAAAAGTTTACATTAGTAGATATTTTTGGCACCGGTATGTAATCTGTAGTACTGTAGATGCAATTGCTTACCAATTGTTAAGTATTTTTTTGTAGGGTTATCCCTTTATAAATCAATTGTATAAATGATGTATATATATCTATATATATAATAAATAAAGTTTAATTTATCTGTTAATTACGACATTAAGATATAATACATGTATATACATTTAAAAAAATTATTTAATAAGTATTTTAATTAAAAAACCACTTAAAAACTATGAATTATGTAACTATAATAGAATATTATAAATAAAAAAATATACAAATATTTTATAAATATAATTTTTTTGAACTAAATAAAAATATTTAAAAAATTTTAGACAATTATTTAATAAACAAAACTACAATTTTCTATATAATAATAATTTTTATTATAATTTATTTTTTACTTAACACTGACTTATATATTATTTCTCGATTTTTTTCTTTTATTATATTCACGTTTTGATGCAAATAATAAATTTACTCTAAATTTATGGCATTTTTTATTAGGACCTCCAAAATAAAAATGATTAATTGCTGCTAAAAAAAGTAGAGTTAAAATTGCGAAATATTTTTACTCATTTTTTTTAATTTTTTGAAAATATTTTGAATGGCAAACATTTTAGCGTTTATTAATTGTATGCATAAAAATTATTTTATTATTATTTAATAATTTAATAAATCAAATCAATAATGTCAGACATATTATATATATATATATATATATATATATATATATACTGTATATATAAGTACAGTATATAAGCGGTAAATGGTTTTTTAATAATGAAAATTATTATTATTATATAAAAAAATCAATAAGCTTTTAAAAACGACTTTTTAAATTATAATTTTTTTTTATATATGTTTAAAACATTTTGTTTATTTTTATCTAATAGTTTTATTCATTATTTTAAAATTTTGAATCATAAATTACAAAAGTTATAAAATAATTTATTTTCTTTTTTTTAAAAAGTTAATTTTAACTTTAATATACTTTTCAATATATCTCATAGTTTTTATTTTTGAAAAAAAATATTTGTCAATTTATTTAATATATTTGATAAAATTTAAATAAAATCATTTAATTTGAAACTAAACCCAACAACAATTTAAATCAGAGCCCAACAATAATAACAAACAAAATGTTAAAATGATTTTTAATGCAAATTTAAGGTTAATTTTTTTTGTAGACATCGATTGTCAACCAAAAAAAAACTTTTAGACATTATATACTATTTTAAGAAATAAAATGAAAGTCTGAAATAAATTATTGAATAAATTATATGAACGAAAATTTCTAATTAACTTATATGTAAATCTTGATCTTTTTGCTAACAAATAAAACTAGAGTCGAAAAACTTTGTTATTTTTATTTGTCAATTATTTCAGTAATAGTAGTAGTCCTAGAAAAAGTTATCTATAAATATTTATAATAATAATAATAATAATAATAATATTTATTATAAACATAACTCGATATGATATTTAATAGTAATTAATTTTTACAATACTGTACTTAACTTAATAAAAAAATAATAATTAATTAAAATACAATTTTTCTGTAGTTTAAAACTAAAAAATAATTATCCGATTTCTTAAACCGTTTTTGATCTTTAATTACTACTACTACTACTATCATTAACCCTTAGTTGTACTTTAATTTTTAATATATATTAAGTAACTATTATTTTTTTTACTGATATAATTTGGTGTCTCCCTTATTGTCCTACTATTATTGCATCCAACCATTTGCGTCAATAAATCCTATACTATTAAAAACAATATATATATAGTCTATCTTTCATGCAATTTATATATATAAATTGAAGTCAATTAATATATACTTTTTTCTAACATTATATAACTAACTAACTAACTAGTGATTAGACTTTCAATTTCACAATCATTTACTATTAAAATAATTCAATCAATGAATAGTTATTTAGCAAAAGAAATAAAGAGAGAGAGAGAGAGAGAGAGAGAGAGAGAGAGAGAGAGAGAGAGAGAGAGAAATTATTGTAACTTTTAAATTGATCTTAAAGTTTAATTTAATGATAACACTAATAGTCGGGTAACAAATGGCTGGCAAACTATAGTATTGATTTTAATATTATGTATAGACATATGGGTTTGATTGGTATATCTGTTTAGAAGATATCATTGATTGTTATGAGTCTTATGACTAAATGTTTATATACTGTGCATATACTGTATCTAAATCTATTTAAAAAAATGTTTTAAACAAATAAATCTAATTAATTATTACATTTGATTGGTTTAAGATTTAAATAAGATTATTTAAAAAAGCAAATTAGTATTTATTTAATTATATTAATATTATGTATCCTTTTTTTCTATTAACAACTAAAATTAATTAATTTAATTTAATAATTTATATATAATATTTTTAGATATAATTTTAGAAATATTTGTTTTGATTTATATGATATAGTTTTTTTAATTATTTTTAATAAAAGATAGTACTTCAGTTTTATAAATTACATTATTATTGATTATTTTTTTAATAAATATTTATAACAATATATTGAGAATATACTTTACATTATAACTTTTTTTTTTTAAAAAATAAAATATACATTAATACTTTTAAAAATTTTAAAATAGCTTTTAAAAAACAATTGGCATTAATAGACTTATTATAAATGTGCAGATTTTAATCTACGTAATTTCAATTTTAATATACATTTATTTTTTGACAATATATACAATACATATTTTTATAAATTATTTTGTATAATGTTAATGTAATGTAAATAATTTATTTAATGTTTTGTCTTAATAATAATAAGTTATTAGTAAATAAATTTAATATAGTAATATAATTTTAGTACAAATGTATATAAAACAAAAATTATTAATAATATCACTTTTTTGTTTTTATTTAGAACCAAAAATAATTAATAATATTAATTAATTAAATTAAATTTCATATTTGTTAGTATTTAATGGATATTTTACTATATTTGTTTAGTCACCATTGTATTATTTATTAAAAATTACTAATATATATAATATATATTATTTGTATAATATTTATAATTTTCATACATTAAATTTAATGAAAAGATTTGCAATTAAATATTTTTTTTGCTAATTTATAGTTTATACAAATTTTCAGACAAATATAAATAAAAATAAACAATAAATTAATTTACTTATAGTATATATATTTCCTTTAACAAATTTTATTTATATTACACATCTACTAATATAAATTAGTCAAACAAATTACATAAAATATTTTATGATAATTATAACAGAATATTTATTATATGCTATGACATAGCAGCTATGTTATATTTAATTTATTTGATAATAAATACTATTATGTTTGTTTAATGAGAAATATAGTATAATTTAATTGAAAAGTTTTCAAGGCTTACACCAAATAATAATAAAAAAAAACAACAATAATAAACAACTAAATAATCAGTGATTTATTAGACAGACAGATAAATTAACAAATTATTTTCATCACTGAATTTATATTTGCAAACAATAACATTGTTTTTGCTATTTTATTAAATAACGATTACACCTGAAATTGTCTATTATTATTATTATTACCATTATTTTCTACAATAATAATTGATAATTAATGTGATAGTTTTATAAATTATAATAATGTATTTTTGTAATACACATACATACATAGATAGAAAATATAATTTAAAAATACTAACATAAGCAAACTAAAATAATTATTTTATTGTTGTATAGACTAAATTTATAATAAACATGTTTATTGTTTATTCATTTTATTATTTATTATTATTATTATTACTATATTTCTATAATTTTAATAGTATAAATATTATTATAAATTGGATTTTTAATTAATTAATTAATTAATATATTATTATTTTTAAATTTACAATTATAGGTAAACGTGGACTGGGAGCTTAGCGATGCCATCTGTGATCTTTATATAGCCATTGATGTCATATGCAGTACGGCATCAATATTCAATTTGGTTGCCATCAGTTTTGATAGGTAGGTGCCCCCCCCCTCTTAACACTGTTTTTTTAGATACAGTAATAGTCAATACTACTAGTATTTGCTAATTTTGATTTGAATAGTTTTATATTATAATTTAATTAAAATTGACTATTAAGGCAAACATCATTAAAAAATTTAATTTACTTAATCATTATTACTACATGCCATTAGTTTTTACACAGAAAAAAACAATTGTGTTTTTTCTTAACTATTATATATAAAGTATCTTTATCTTATAGAAACTATTTGAATTTATATACTATATATAAAAATATATAATAGATTTTTTATTGGCATATATATATAACTTTTATATTTTATTACTGTATTGTATCATATATTATACCAGCAAAAAAAAACGATCCGTGAAACCAATTATATATCTAATATATTGAGTTATATACTGTATATCATGAGCTGTAAATCATTAAATTTCTACGATTTTTTTTCTGGCGATATTTTTTTATGAATATAATTATTATTTTTTATTATTTTTTTTTTTGGTTGCTTACGATCTCTAAATGTATGACAAGTTGTATTACATAACAGAATATTCTGTTAACGAGAATATTCTTTGCATGAAATTTTTTTTCACTTGTATTTGACTCATACATAACATTATTATACTTTTCTACTACAGTAGTATTAATGTATAAAAAATGTATTTTGATAAATGAAATATTATTTCTTATATATATATATTGTAATATAATAATAAAAAATACTGTTTAACTTGAGTACAGTATATAATAAATACATATTCAAAGCCACGTGTGGTTGGTTAGGTTTTTTTTAGGATACGAGTGTAGTGAGAACCTGTAGATAAATCTAACAAACCTTAACAATCACTACAATTACATGTATTACAAAGTACTGTATATACTGTACTATTGTATAAAATATAGTAATGATAAACATTTTTTTGTGTTTTTTTTATTTATCATATATCTCATACATACAGTACAATATAATTTTTTAAATGTTAATATATAATTGTGTTTTTCTCAGTACATAACTTTTATCAAATTTGATTATTATTATTATTATAATGCAATCTATATTGTGTATGAATATATCATTTTTAATTATTACTATTAATTATAATATTATTAAATATATAAAAATCTTAGATCATATAATTTTTTAAAACTAATTTTTGTTGTGAAATATATTTATATATATATAGAATAATAAAAATATTAATTAATTAATTAAATCTACAATACTTATTATATAATTATTATAATTTATTATGACAAAAATGTTAAGTACTTATTATAAATTCAATACTATTTTCTTTAGTAGTCGACAATCAATGATAATCAACAAAATATTTTTTGGTTTGTTTAATGAATCTTATCGTTTGATGTGTTATAGCCATTATAGTAACAACAAAAATAATAGTCTAAACAATTATTTTTTTTCTATTTTTAGTTTCCAAAAAAAATAATTGCTTCAATTTAAATGATTTAAGGATTTCAATTAAATAATAATTGATATCAAGAGTTGAATAACTACAGTACAATATATACTTTACTATACATATTATATTTCATATATTAATATAATATATTTAATATAATTTATTAGAAATATGTAATGTAATGTATGAATATTTATAATACATTTCACGTTAATTTTTTTACAGCCTAAATGTTTTGTAATAAAACAAAAACATTTTATTCAAAATATTATATTATATATATACTTTATGTATATATTTTATATACATATTATTAAATTAAGTGATCATTATTTTAATAGTAGTCAAAAAGTTTTGCTCATTTATAGCTTAATGCCGACACATATAATGGTTTCAAACAAACTAATTACTATAATTATAAATTTTTGGTTTCAATTTATTTTACTTTTTTTTATTGTTAATATTAGAGTAAAAGTACATCTTATTATATAAATATATATTTGTATAAATAGCAAATTATTTCAAATTTTAAATTAGTTAATTTTATCAATATAAATGCATATAATTTTTAGCTAAATATATCGTTTATATAACTATATATATATATATATATATACGATATGATATATTAATATAATTTGCAATTATTTTTAACAATAAATTTGTTTTAATCAAATTGTCAATTTACCTTGAGATTATAAAAAACATTATTATTATTATTAAATTTACTATTATTTTTGACTATAATGTGTACTAAATTGATAATACTGTACAAAAAATAATATGTTTAATAATAATAATAAATTTTATGCAATTATTTTAATTAATAATTTATTGTATTATTTTTAAATAATTTTTAAATTAGTTAATAAGTTATTTGTAAATTGATAATTATATTTTATAATAAGTTTTTTTTATTAACATGTTAAATTTTATTACAATATTATAATAATAATGTAAAATGTTAATATTTATATCTTACAAATATTTAAATATTATTTTTTCTGATACATTAATAATAATATGTATTTGATAATAATAATAATAATAATCATAATCGTAATAATATGATATATAACTTTTTTTTCCTGTACAATAATCACCCAATTTTAGACTCTACACTATTTTCCTGTATTTAGATAAATCCCTATACACTTATACACAGTATATATATATATAAATATTATTTGAATAATAATAGTAATCTTCATAATAATATTTTTTTGGATGCAATAAGAATCTCAATATAATATATATTATTATAGTTTTTTTTGTATAAAAAAAATATAATATCTATCGAAATATGATTTCTTGTGTCGTAAACCATATAAAAACATATTTCCTGTGAGTTAGTCATCCGATTTTAATATAATAGCCTCGCTTTACACACTCACTAACGCACACATTAGAAATATATTATATATAATATTTTGTTATATAATATTAGATATTATTAGTGACCAGACATTAAATCCTGGTATCAATTTCTGGTACCGAAAATTGTTTTCCCGTAATATATACACTAAAATATAATAACCAACACATTATCTGTTAATAACATAATATGTACATCTTATCATATTTTTTATTATTTTTTGTTGTGTTATTATGTTTGTTATACTAGCAAATAGTTTTAAGATATTTTTTTATGTTTTTTATTTCTATATATATATATATATAGCAATTATTGTATAGTAATATGTTTTAGACATCAATATATATATATATATTTTGTTATTTGATTGTATCTATTTCACAAATTTTATAAATAGTAGTAATTTAAAAAATTATTATTATTATTTGGGTTAAATTATCCAATAATTTATTTGATAAACAAAAAAAGTTTTATTTTTTTTGCAATCATTATTATTTAATGTATAGATAAGCAAAAAAAATCTGATAGTGATTTTTGCTTAGCAAAAATATTAATGGACATAATACTATTGTTTTTATTAGTATAAATTATTACTAATAATTGTATTTTTTATATACTATATATTATATTATGATATTTATTATTTATTAATTTATTAAAAATTTAACTGCATTTTTGTTTTAAATCCTATTAAATGACATAAATTTGTTGTAGTTTATTGGCTATAAATATATTATCGATGTTTGAACTGTTATATTCAATGATTATTATATTTTTAATAATAAAATAAAATTTTTAATATTTTACAATTTTATTATTCAAACACTAAAATATTGTAAATAAAATATATTTTTATTTCTAAAAATTCAAGAATATATTTTTATTATTATTTGCTTTTATAACATAAGTTTTATATGTAAACTAACTTGAATTTTGAATATTTATTTACAGTATATAATAATAAATATTTGACAAAAAATAGCAAATATATTTGCATATTTTTTTTAAAAAAATGTATCTTAAAATTTATGAAATTTTATAAAAATATTTTTTATATCAGTAAAAAACAATTATAAATTTAATAATAAACTATAAGTATAACTAATACAATATATTGAATAAATATATTTTTAAAATTTAATAAATAATCATTATCATATAAAAAAGTTGTAAGTTTTAAAATAATTTAACTAATTTTTTAATTATTATTATATTATTTTTTTATCAAAATTATAGATACATAGCTGTAACGCATCCAATATTTTACTCAAAACATAAAAACGATAAGAGAGTTATTTTTACGATATTTATCGTTTGGATTTGCTCGGCCGGTGTCGGACTGCCAATTGTTTTAGGTGGGTGCTCAACAACAACAACAAATCTAACTAAAACATCTAAACCAATAACCCATCCCATTCCTCACCTTTCTCCGATTATCTTTGTTTAATGTTACATCCCATGTATAGGTGCCAATACGTCCGATGAACGGATCCCGGAGCTGTGCATATTTTACAATTCAAATTTTATCATTTACTCGAGTTTGTGGTCATTTTATGTGCCGTGTGTCATAATGGTCATACTATACTATAAGATATTTAAGGCCATTCACAATAGGGCCAAAAAATCGATCGGTTCCCGTAAAACCTATACTACCGATACGTCCGAGTCGTGTAAATCGGCTCAAGTTATCGAAAACATTGCACAAACCAAACGCTACGAACTACAGGCGGCCGCTGCAGCCGAAGCTGCCGCCCGATTGGCCGCCGCTAATAAACTGAAGACCAACAAACTGCCGCTGATCACGGAAATGACAGACGCCGTGACCAATACGGGCAGCGGTGGCAGTCGTGAAGATGATGATGACGACGACGACGATGACAAGGATGAGATTGAAATGGTTGAATCGTGTCGTGTAATACGCAACAAACGGGCCGTCGATATGATGGTAACCACTGATGATACGGAGCTTCGGGATTTGCGTGCAGTTAACAAACGCAATGCCAAAAATGTGATCCAATTGCAGAGTCCGCTCGATGTTGAGGTGACCATTGGACCAAATGGTAATACCAATACTGATTCCGGTTACGCCCCGTCATATGCCCCGTCACTACCTTCCACTGTTATTGACGACACAGTTTTGTCACAGTTTTGTATCCACAACCCTAACATAGAAACTCCTGTACCGGCCGTTACAATAGATACAAACGATGTCGTCGGTGTTGCCAGCGATGAGGCAGCAGTTGTTGTCGGCGACAATGTAGGCGGCGTTGTACTGGTTGTCACTAATATTAATTTAGCAAATAATAATAATAACAACAAAACTAATAAAAACGGCAATATTATCGGTCCGCAGCCGATAGTATCAACCACTACGGCATCGCCGTCACTGCACGTTGTCGGCCATAATCATCAACTGCTACAACAACAGCAACAACATCAGCATCAGAGCAAACACAGCGATAGTGTGTCGCACTCGCACTCGCATTCCGGCTCTACTACCGGATCGACTACCGGTGCCACACATAATGCCACTCATAGACCGCCAAAAAAGAAGTCGCGATTCAATTTGGGCCGAAAACACAAAAGCACGCGAAAGAAAAGGGAAAAAGCGTCGGCAAAAAGGGAACGTAAGGCCACAAAAACGTTGGCCATTGTCTTAGGTTTGGACATACCTTTCCCATAGATATGCTTTTTTATGAATTTTTCTGTCTATATATTTATGGAAAGTTTTTTCATAAAATTAAATCTAAATTATAAAATGATATAAATTTACAGAAAGTCCTGTTTTTTGTCGAAAATAATATTTATGAGGAAAAAACAATAATTGTTTTCTTTGTTGAGTAAAATAACAAAAAAAAACAAAATGTTTTATATTTCCTGACAATTGTATAGCATTTAAATAACATTATTTGTAATCTTAACTCTGATATAACCATTTTGTCAGTCAATTGCTTTGAAAAAAATTGCAAATAAAACACTTTTATAAGTGTATAATCTTTGTTTTTATATATCATATAATATATATCACTTTAATCTGTTATTTTTATGGGTTATATTATTATACTTTCAACTCTCTCTCTCTCTCTCTTCTCTCTCTCTCTCTCTCTCTCTCTCTCTCTCTCTCTCTCTCTCTCTCTCTCTCTCTCTCTCTCTCTCTCTCTCTCTCTCTCTCCATGTATATGGTATGCCGTGAATTGACACTTGAAAATGTCGTTTATATTAATGTTGTCAATCATTTAATAACTATTGTATCCTTTATATACATATGTATGTGTGTGTGCTATCATCCAAATCTCATGTGTAATCGTATATAAACTTTATCACAACAACAAAAAAAAATCTTTTTTTTTCTCTTTATTTTTAGATATTTTGTTTCATAAACTCGATGTTGTATTTATTATTTTCCCATAACATTCATAACATTTGAACACTTTAAGTGTGTGTGTCTATGTCTATGTGTTAGTAATGTTGAATTTCTAAACTTTTATAAGTGTTTTATGTTTTACCCAACATTTGATGAAATGCCTGAACCTCTATACTATACTACTGTATACTATAATCAGTTTTAAGTGAATTTTCAATATAAAAAAAAGTGTTTCCGTAATAGTCTTACTTTATTTTTTACTTGCCTTTTGCTTCACTTGAGTCCAATTTTTTTTAGTTTTCATTTTATTTTAGACTTTTTTTATCATTTGGTATAAAGTCAAAGAATTATGAGTGGATGAGTAGAGAGAGAGAGAGAGAGAGAGAGAGAGAGAGAGAGAGAGAGAGAGAGAGAGAAAGAGAGTTTTAATAATTTAGTGGAGTATATAACACATCATTTTTTTTGGTCCCATTGATAATGAGATTCATTTGATTTTATATAAAAAATTTATTATTTTCTTAAAGATATTACTGTATTATTCTTATATATATACTATTTTTATTATGTTTCTGGCAATTAAATTATAAAATATTAATTTTATTTTTATATAGTTTTATTATTTGCGCTATTATCTTATATATATATACAGTATATTAGCAATTTTTTTTGTCTCATTCAGCTAAACTGTGTGCAATAATACTAATAAAATATTAATACTGTATACTATATTAGATACATTTGGAAAAAAAATAGTAATAAAGTTGTTTTTTTAAACTTAATAATTTAGTGCAAACTGTGTGTTCAAAATCACCAAAAAAAAGTATGAGATTCTAAAGTATAATAAAATAAACAGACATTTATTTCTACTACTAATAATGATAATAATGTTTTATATATATATATATTGTTATATTTTTATCTCAAATTAAACAGTCTGGAGGAGAGAAAAGTTTTTTGTTGTTATTGTTATTGTAAAAAATATTATATATAAACCGTAGTTTATAATGACTTAAATTTTTTTAGACAAAATACATTATTAGACGTTACACTTAATTATATTTTCAAAACAACAAAATATATCTACAAAAAAATTTTTATAAGACAACAGAATATATATATATATATAATTTTTTAGTTTAATTCTTTGCTATTTATTACCACACATTCAAGTAATTATATTATTTTTATTTTTTAAAAAACAAACAAACATTTTTTTATCTTTTTAAAATTTTTAATGGTATCTTCTAATTGTTTTGACAATAAGACAACTTTATTGCATATAAATTATAATGTATATTATATTTATACAACTTTATTAATTAACAGATTATAAAATTTTAAAAATTTTTTGAAAATTATTTTCAATGTAAATAATATTTGCAAATAACTACATATATTGTATTTGTATGTATTATACAGTATAAACATTTATTATTGTCAAACTGTATATATATATATATTATTTATTATATTATTAATATTAATTTTATTAATTTATCATTAAATGTTTAACAATTTATTATTATAATTGTTTTTTTTAATTTTAATTTTAGGCGTTTTTCTTCTTTGTTGGACTCCTTTCTTCAGGTATTTTTTCATTAATTTTTTTTCAGTATTAAATTATTGATTATATGACACAAAATTGCCAAACATTATATATTTTTGTTTATTTTTAATATACACACATATGTATATTAATTATAGTTAATAACAAATTAACTATTTTTTCATTTATATAATACTGTAAATATACAATTATACATATCTGTTGTAAATTATAATTATAATAATTTCAAGTTTTGCTATCATTACTATTACACTAAAACACTTTAAGGCATCATTTAAAATATTGTAATATAATATATATGTATATATATATATATATATATATATATATATATATATATATATATATATATATACATGTATATATTCGTATATAAATATCAAACCCTTATTACTTAATATTAACATTTAATATAAGAATATTCTTGTATTTATTTTATTATTTATAGCTAAACAATAGAAAAACATACAAATTATACAATAATATACCATTAAAACACTATTTATATTAATACAAACATACATTTATGACACAATTAGCCTTAAGGATAGTTAACTTATAAGAGAGTATACAATATTAATACATGAATATATATATATAGAGATATAAGAAATTAGTTTATAGAGCTAATAGAGTAGACATTAATATACTAATTATTAATATGAATTATAGTATGATATATAAAATATTTATTGATAATGATATTCATGTTTTTTTTTGTTTTCTTCAATTCAATTGCAACAGTTGTAACATTTTAGATGCCATTTGTATAAAATTAGTTGAAAATCATTTTATACAAACCGATTGTAGGCCAGGGATGACATCTTTCCTATTGACCACATGGCTCGGCTACATGAATAGCTGTATGTATATATACTTTATATATTAATTAGATATAAAACATTTTTTTTTGTAAATAATAAATTATTAATAATTTAATTTATTAGATTTTTTTATAGTCTACCTATAAGTAATAATGTTAGAATATTGTTTATAAAAAATTATCATAACATTAATTAAGAAAAAATCAATAAAACAAACAAACAAACAAATTAATTAATTTCTAATTTTTAGTACATGTGTGTGTAAATGTGATAATTAAAAATTAATAATCCATTTATAATTGCTGTCAATATAATTGGGTCGTTAATACTGGTATAATTTTTTTTTTATATAAGTATATATTACACTGTATCAGAAATAGTGTAGTGATTATTATTTTTTTTTTGAAGATTAATTTACAAATTAATAAATAATATTTAATGTTTAATCGATAAAAATTTATTAAAACTTTGATATATATACAGTATATTACACTGTTATATAAGTTTAAGACATTTACAATATAAACTTAACACTAGTATAACATTTAATTATAGGAAATTTGCAACAACAACAACAACAAAAACATTTTGAAAAACTAAACTTATAGATTATTTTATTAATAATATTAATAATATCGGTATATTAGATAAGCATATTAACATTTTTTTATTGCGGTAATATTTTCAAATCATTAATTGCTAATTGTATGATAAAACGATATAAACCGTGTCTTATATATATTTTAATAAAATATTTCAAATAATATTTTATAATTTTATTTTATGTAATATTTTCGGTAAATTAAGTTTTTATATGTATTATGTAATTGCCATTTTATTACTTTCCATAAATTATATATATTTATATTTATTTAAATGGATATAAATATTATATTTTTACAATACATGGTTTATGAATTGTTTTAAATATATATATATAATATTTCAAAAATTTAATGTTGTGAATAATTAATAATTTATGCTATAAAAACATAATAGTTTTATGTATTTCGTAATGTTTTTAAATGTTTATATATATATATATTTATGCTATATAATCTAATAGATTATTATTATAAATTTTTATTACTAATATATAAAACATTTTTTTTAATCTTTAATATATTTTTTTTAATAAATAGGTGCCAATCCATTGATTTATACAATTTTTAATCCTGGTATGCATTTTATAGACAAACAACAAAATTTGATTATTACAACAAATTTACTAATTATTGTTTTTTATTTATTTTTTACAGAATTTCGTAAAGCATTTCGAAAAATATTAGCACAAATATTTTAAAACTTTTTTTTTAAAAAAATAATAAAAATTATTTTAAAAACATTCAAACAACATTGTATAATATAAAATCTTTAATGTAATAATACAGTATATATATATAAATTTAATCAAAAATAATCATTTTAAGAAAAATATATATAAATATTTAATAATAATAAATATATTTATCTTTTTTATAATAAGCATATAATAACTAAATTCTATAATAAGTTATCAAATTTATTAATTTACAAAATAAACAAATAAACAACATTTATATTATATTAAATATTGTAAATTTTATTGATATTAAATGTCAATAATAATAATGTGATTAGTTATATATAAATAATAATAAATATATATCTGTAAATGATATCTTTATGAAAACTATCTGGTCTCAAAAATAATACAATAATAAAACCTATAAAAGATAACTAACAAAAAAATTGATAAAATGAGAACATTAAAAAATTTGAATGACATTTATTACTTTATTTAAAATTTTAGGAAAATTTCTAATAATGTTTATCTGTAATATTACATTAGTTAAAACTATTTATTTTATTTTTTTACTTATAAAAAAATTACTAGAAATTTTCCTAAAATTTTATTAAATATGACAATTGCTTAATATCATTTTACATTATAAATAGACAATACTGTATGAACAGTCGTTTACAAATTAAATCAACAAATGTTTATTAACACTAACAAAAATTTTGTTAAAAAATAATTATAAAATTCTAATAAATAAATTGTTTATATATATATATTATTTTTAATATTAATTTTTTTTATTTATGTTTATGTTATATTAGCATATTTTAGCAATTGTTTTTTTATTGTTAAGTCTATTATTAAATAATATTTATTTGTATGCATTATATAAACTTTGTATACATGTTTATAATATTAAAGAGAGTAAATTGAGCTTCTAAGTTTAGAAAAAATTATTAAAAATAATATAATAAAAATATTAAAATATTATTTAATAAAATACTCAACTTTTAAAAACAATTTATAAAATATGCTTGAATTAAGTTTAATATTACAGTTTATACTCTATTATTATTATTGTTATAATTTATTTTAAAAATATATAATATTATAAATAATTATATGTCTATGTATATAAAAATTTATATTGTAATCTAATTTATTTTGTATAAGAAATATTTTAAACTTTTTAAGATTATTTTCAAAATGTAAAGATTATATAATAAAAATTGTTATTAATAATAATAATATATAAATAGATCATAATAATAATAAATATTAATATTAAATTTTTACAATAATAATAATATTCAGTGATTTAACCATTAATTTTATGTAATTTATAGTTAATTTAATAAATACTATAAGATTTATATATTAATAAATATATATATAATTTTATTATTGTTAATTTAATTGCTAATTTTTTATATTATCGCATTGTATTTTAGACAGGGACAAATCAGATTTTAAATTAGTAAATAGTAATTATATTTATTTGGAATATATTAGAGATCTGAACAATAAAAAACGGTTTGGTTTCATAAAAATTTATTTAATTTATGTATAATCTATTGGTTCGGTTATTGGGGTTTATAATTTTTAGACCACTATTTTTTGTATTATAATGAATATTATGACAAATAAGTTATATTAATATATAGTTTTGTTTTTCATGAAACAAAACAACGAACAAACAAAAAATTAAAATATATTATACTTTATAATCTTATTGAATATTATGAGATTTATTAATATAAATTATATACATAAATATATCAATTTTATTTTATTTTTATATATTATTTATATTTATAAGAATAACTTATATGAGAATTATTTATCAAATATTTTGTTTTTGTTTTCTTATTATTTATGAATAATATTATAAATTATTATAATTTATATATTAAATATATATATATGATATAAAATAATTTTCGTATAATATATAGAGTATAATTAAATTCCGGTCACAATAACCGCAACAATAAAAATTAATGGCAAAACCTATAATTACAAAATATTTTTCTCTCTTATTTATTGTATAATATAATATGCTTTAATAAACAGTTTAACTTTCAAAATCAATATAAATGTCACTAAAAAAAGGGTTAAATTATATATATATTATACAAAATTTTAATGTTTAGTCATATATTGTACTAAATGCCTGCTTTGTGTCAATCTTTCAGTATATATATATACTGTATTTTATTATACAAAATAGATTTTTAAAAGTCATTATAGAAAGCTATATGTGTTTTGTTTTGGATTTGAATTGACTTGACTTTCGGAGTTTATCTTTTGTAGTCAGTGTTGAATAATAAAAGTAACAAAATAAAAATGTTAATAAGAAATTTTCTTAGAGAGAAATTTACTAAGAAAAAAATGATTTCTCAAATAATTTTAGCTATAATTTTAATTTATTTGATTATAGTAAATTAAAAAATGCTATAATTAAAATTATTGGATTGCATTAGATGATTGAATTAGAGTAAATCAATTAATTATAAATTAGTTAATCAATATTAGTATTTTTCAAAATCTAATCTAATAATTTTTAAATAATTATTTAAATTATAAATCATTGATTTTTGTTAGACATTGGTTTGATTAAATTTTATTTAATCACATGATTGTTTTTGTTTAAATTATTTAAGTATTATTAATTACTAAAATATATTAAATATTGCATTAGAATACTTATAATTTGGATTATTATTTTCTAATTTTATTTCAATACAGATATCTATCTATAATAATAATTCACAACTAAAGTAAATTTTTTTTTAAATAAAAATAAAGATTAATTTTTCAGAAAATTCTAGAAATTTTTTTGTAATTTTTTACAAAAAAAAAATATTTTTATTTTTATTTGTAGTTATTTTTTAAGTAAATGGTATTTTCATTCGTAAACCTTTATATTTTTCTAAAGAAAACTAGTAGTAGTAGTAGTAGTAAATACAAAAACTTGTATTATAATAGTAAAATATAGCCAATTATTTAATAATTAGAAAGTTATTCAAAAAAAAGTTATTTTATTTGTCTTTGATTATACAGTATTATAATTTCTATATAGAAATTTGTACTATTTATAGATAAATATCAATACTAATATAGTTATAGTTATTAAATATAAAATAACTTAATATATATAGTATACTATTTTATAATATGTAAGTATTTATTATTAATATTTTGTTTTTCTTAAATATATATACAGTATATAAAATATATTAATTAATAAATTCCGTCAATTTATACGATATATAAACAGTATATAATATGTAAAACTATTTGAATATATTATATTTTATAGAATTATTTTGTTATTTGAAAAAATATTAATTTATTATAATATTCTATATAAATAAAAAATAAATAAATAAAGATATATTTGTATAAATTTAATTAAATTCTGAAACTAATAATTAACATGACTTTGAATAAACAATTTTTTAATTTATTACTTACATTAATGTCAATATTACTCAGCAGTTGCTTAAACTTTCATAAAAAACAAATTTTAGATTTATTAAAATTCAAAGTTATTATGTTATTCATGTATATATATACATATAATTCATATATTTATTAATGCATATTTTAGATGCACATAATTTGATTTTAATTTAATAGATATTAATATATACAGTTTCAATTAAAAAAAAATAATTTCACAGTAAAAACAAAATTATTATAAATAACAATAATTTACAAAATATATATTTATTTTATTATATTAGTAAAATTATTATTTGTTTAAATTTATGTTATAAAATTATTATTTGTTTAAATTTATGTTATGTATAAAATGTAAATATAAAAAATATTTATTATAAATAATAGTAAATTGAGTGATAAAAATATTTATTATTATAATTAAATTATTGAAATTATTTTTTAATATTTTGAAATAATTTACATAATTTTACATAACATTTTCCTAAAGCTAAAATTAAAAAAACAATATGTGCAGACCATAGTTACAATCAATTTATATATGAATATATCATTAAAAATTATTTTAGATTTTATCTTATTTGTGTCTAAAACATTTTTGACAGTTTATAATAAATTATTATCATAGTGTAAATCTATTACTATAAAACTGTAGTAAAGTAATTGCACTACAAATACACATTTGGCTATTGATATTATAAATAAAAATTATAATTTTATTCAATTTTCAGACATTTATTTTTTGATAAAATAAATACTTATTAGTTTATGATGTGGTAAATACTTATAATTTATAATAAACTAATAAGAATACTGAATAATTCTAATAAATCTATATAAATATTTATTATTATTAAAATGAATTATAAACTTTATTTATTAAATCAAAAATTTATTAATATATTTGAATGAATTTCATTATTGATTGTAGTTTTAAATTTTTTAAAATTAAATATTCAATACTCAATTTTAAACAACAACAATAACATTTGCATATAATACATAATTTTAGTTAGCATTAAGTTAGTGGGTTAATTTTGTATATATGTATTTACAATAGATTATTTGCTATAATATTTATTATGTAATATTAATATGATATAAGTTCATTTTGAATTTATATAAATATTATATTTCACAAAAATAAATAAATCAGTATATTTTATATATAAAATATTCATTGAAAATGTCGGATCTAATATAGATAAAATAATACAGATAATGTATTTTTAATATTTTGATAAATTAAATATAAATTTTTTGTTGGAAAAAATGTATGTTATAAATAATAAATATCAAGTTAATACTGTATAATATATATAATATCATTTGACATTTTATTGAAAAATATTTTAGTAAAAACCTATAGTTAACTTTAATATTCAAAATAAAAAGAAAATTTATTATACTGTATAACTAAATCTATAGTATTAGTACACAATACACATACAGTAAATTGAATAAAAAAATTATTAGTTGAGATTATTATTATTATAAGGAATATTCTGATGTCTACAAAAATACTGCATTTTTAGTTTCAAACTAAAAGCCCTGAGGTTATAATGTTTTGTGTTAATATTATATCTAACTTTATATATATATTATGTTAAAAGATATTATTAACTACTTTTTTTTATCTTTCTTGTAGCTAACAATAATAATTTAATATAAGCTCTCTCTCTCTCTCTCTCTCTCTCTCTCTCTCTCTCTCTCTCTCTCTCTCTCTCTCTCTCTTTCTCTCTCTCTCTTTCTCTCTTTATCTGACATTTTGTGAACACAAACTGATTTGTGTCATAAAAATTTGTAAATAACTAAGTCTATAGAGAGGTATTAATAGTAATAGGAACTACATTACAAATCTACTGTATAAATAGTTTTTTATGTGTTTTTAAATAAAACTTATATATATATATCCCAGTGTTTTGATTACTTTAATTTTATTGACAACAAATTAAGTTTAGAGTACTAAAACTAAATGCTAAATTTATTATTATTTTTTTTGTGATCACTATTGTTGATGTATTGGTTGATATATATTTATATACAAAAAAAGACAATATATTTGTAAAATAAATAAATATATTTAATACCTATACATAACACATATAACCTAAATATACTCACTTAACTTTATAGACTTTTTTTTAGCGCAACAAGAAATTCATTATATATATATATATATATATATAAGTAGAGCCAAACATATAAACATAAAAAATGTTATTTATATATATATGACTCCCGGAGACGTTCAGTTCAATAGGACTGATCGACTCTATGCTCTATTTCACTAAACTTATCCACACAACCAAACTATCCGTCTATTTATTTATTTTCTCCTAATATTTATTACTATGGTATGTAATATTCACCCCTTTATGTATGTATATACAGTATATATACGGTATATATTATATGATTTGCTAAATATATATATATATAATACATTTACTTTATATACATATACCATTATATTTGACATACCAGTGCTGAGATTCTATAAATTCTCTGACCATTGAGTATATAATAATCTGTAAAGAATTTAATTATTTATTTTTTTATATATATGGATATATAGCCAACAGTCGTATTGTATAAGAAAATTTATTTTCTTTTAGTAGTAATAATAATAAAACAACACAATAGACAGACAGACAGACACACACACATACATACATATATACATATCAAGTATCTAATAAATAAATGGATAGTCTAGAGAGTGTACTCATAAATTTATTTATATATTTTTTTTAAATAATGTAATTATAATAAATTTGTAACATTTTTACAGCTATTATATTAAATAAATGTATTGAAGCAAAGAATCTATAAATTTAAATTAATAAACTATAAAAAAAATATAAATAAAAATTTAAATAATTTAAATAAATAAACTTTAAATAAATTAAAATAATATAAAGAATATTCAAGAAAAATATTTATCAATATCTACTAATATTTATCAATATCAATTTCAAATATTAATTTTAGTCAATAAATTTAAAAATATATTTTTAATATATTATAATCAAAAAAATTATAAATTAATTATCAAATATCTTGTATAGAAAAAAAATTATTTTTTAACAATACAATATATATATATTAAAAAAATATTTAATAGAAATATTATTTTTATTATTAAATAAAAATTAATTTATTAAATTCCTCATTATTAATAAAAATTCCTAGTTTTAAATGATGTTTATATTATAAATATATATATAATATATATATATATATAATACCTGTATAAATGTTTTGTTAAATTTTTAATTAAATAATCAATGATTACACTAGAATTATATGACAATCAGTTTTTATTATATAAATAATTACAGTAAATATTTTTAATGTCTATATGAAAAAACTAGATAATTGTTGTTTAATATAAACATTTATTTAATCTCAAATTCTTTAAATAATTAGATTCAAATGATATTTTTGGAAAAATAATTATTAATTAAAAATCATTTTAATTAGTAGTACTAATATCATGAAATATTAGATTTGATCTCATAATTTTTATTGTAAATATCAAATAAAATTTTTAATGAGTGTCAAAACAAAATAATTAGTTGTTTATTTTCATAAATTCACTTTAAATCATTAAAACATTAGAAATTTTTAATTGAAAACATCAATAAAAATAACAAACATTATTGTTATTGTATTATTATAAAATAGGGTATATTTAAAAAATTTAAAAATATTATACAGTTAAATAAAATATACAAATATCTAATTTGTTGTCATATTTTTATAAAACTATTATTATAATAACTTTTTAGGCATACTTTAAAATTGTTTATTTAATTTATATAACTTTAAAAAATTAAACATATGCAAATCTAAAACTATAACTTTCAATTTCAAATTTATTTTATAATATAATATTGAAATAATAAAACATATTATTGTATAGTAATACATGTTATTTATACACATTTACTATAATCGTATTTGATTTTTATTTTAAATAAAAATGTTTAATCAATCAATAAGCTGGTAATCCTAGCGATTGAGGATCAAAATTATCAAAACAATTGACAATTACTGTAATCCTATCGGCAATTGAATCAAAATTACTATATTTTCTATCATTTACTAGTAATGTCTTCATTCCTGTTTCGACTGCACCTCTGATACCTTGCAACGAGTCCTCAATGATTAGGACATTGGCCTCAGATTCGGGTCGATTGACAAACCGATTCATACAAACACTATAGACTTGTGGATCGGGTTTAATGGCCTTAACTTCGGGATCATCGGACGCACAGACATAATGTGTAAAGTATTTGTCGAAAAAGTTTTCAAACTTTTTCGACAAAATTTTGATTACCGATTGCGGCGAATTGGTTGCAATGGCCATCGGTATGTTGTGTCGATAGAGATGTTGGATCAGTCGGTCGACACCAGGTATTAGACTCCACTGTCTTTTGTTTAACATTTCATCAAACAATTGTTTAGTCAACTGATTTCGGTCGATGTCATCGTTTAAGCCGATTGTGTCGTAAAATCTGTTAAATATGTGACCATTTTTATCATCATTTGACATCGAAACTGATAAATAACAATTAATAATAATAATAATAACAAATTTTTTATAATTAATAAAATTAATATATTATAAAAAAATATTAATACATATTTAAAGCATTTAGTGTTTCAACAACAACAACAAAAAAAACGGCTAAACCTATTATATAAATAATTTTATTTCTTCTAACATTACTAACAATACTATCTATACATAAATTTACTGTACTTTTTTTAGTTATAAAATTGTAACTAAAAATTACATTAAGTGTGTAATAAATTTGATTATTTGATTTGAAAATAAAAAAATAATAATAATAAATTAGTTAATAGTCAATAGCTATACCTATTTGTTCCATTGATATATGCTTTCCAATACTGGCGGCATAGTCTTTAAAAATTTCCGGCAATGGATTATCAACTATTGTATCGTCCAAATCAAATATTACATGAGTTATTTGATGATTGGTAGTCATAATAATTATATTATTAATTTATTATATATATATATAACTAATAATATGTATTATAATATATTAAATAAAATTATAATAGTATATTGTAGTTTAAGTAAGTTAGATATATTATATGGTTAAATATTTATAATCGTAATGCAGATTACTGTTGTAATACAATTTATTGTTAATTCATTTTACGTAAATATAAGTAAAAAAAAATATATATTTTATAAAATTTAAAGTTTAACAAAATTATGAAATTTTCTAGAAATATTCTCCGACACAAATAAATTATTCTATAATTAAATGTCTAAATATTTGTTTAAAAAAAAGAAAATTTAGTATAATTAATAAAATAATACTTTTAATTTTTAGACTTTATAATTGAGCATTATTTTTTAATAATTTTAAATATTTACCAAATCAAAAATTGAAAACTTTCTAAAATTTTTTTTTTTAAATTACTTCATACTCAATGCTAATTAATTTCTAAAAAAATTAAACCATAATAATGATATGTATTATTGTTTTTTTAAAGTGCTTATTATTTTGCAAATTCATTAAATGAATTTATCATTTAATATTATTAGATGATTATTAAATATAATAATAAAATTATTACTAAATTTAATGTTTAATGAAAATTATTAGTAAGTATTAGTAAATATTTAATAAAATGAATTATAATTTTAGTGTTTTTTTCTAAATAAATATTTATATTATATCAAACACTTTTTTTTATTAAATCAATACATCCAGTAAAACGAAAACATTAGATAAATTACTAAACATTTCATTGTTTTCAATTTGACAAACAGTTTATTTTATTTATTTATTTTTTTGCTAATAATTTATTGTATATCATTAATAAAACTGTCGTTCAATTATAATCATAGAAGAGATAGATATGTCCAATATTTTTCATCCTCTCTCTCTCTTCTCTCTCTCTCTCTCTCTCTCTCTCTCTCTCTCTCTCTCTCTCTATCACTCACTCACACTCATAAGACACAAAAAAGTGAGAAAAATTACACTTTCATTGATTAGTTGACTCATTGGTATCTATTAACTAACTAACGAAACATTGAACAGAAATGATAAGAGTTGTGTTGTGTTTTCAATTAGTTTTATTTTAATTACTTTTTGTTTAGTTTTGTTTTATTTTGTTGGTTTGTTTTGTTGATTATATTAATGTAAAAATCTATTCAAAAAAGAAAAACACAAATGTAAATGAATTGTATAAACTTATTGTTGTTATTGTTGTTTATGTCTAATCAACAAAATTAACAGGAATTATATATTTTACTGTCTAATTCTGTATATAATTTATTGTATTTAATTTACCCAGTTAAAGTTAAGATTATATAATAAACTTAAATAATGTGTAATTTGTAAATTATAATTTAAAAACTAATATATAATTATTTAATATACTAACAAAACTTTAAAGTTGTTGAACTTGAAATTGAATTGATAATTTTTTTTTAAAAATTATTTAAATTATTTGTTATTGCATTTTAAATAATAATCTTTATAATGGAAAAGTATATTTATAATTTTTAATATTGAAATCTATAAAAAAAATCTATAATGAAAAAGCACTTTAATTTTAATTTGAATAAAACTTTATATTATGAATAAAATTATTATTTTTTATAAAGTTTTACTATCTATAATATAACTATAAAGTATGTAAATTATTTGTGCACTTACATGATTAAGTAAATAGACGATAATGTATTTATAAAAAAAAGTTATATTAAATTTATAAAAACTATAGCTTTGAAGTAAGAAAATATTTAGATATAGAAATAATAAATTTATTTTAAATTTAATTATTATAACTAAACAAAAACTGATTTAATTAACAAATAATTATACATTTTATATATTTTTTGCCAATTTTGGAATGTATTATATTTTTATCTATGGATAAACTTTTTTTAAAAAATTAAACCACTTTATAATCAAATATCTAAGTGCTTTAATATGCTTGTACTTTATGACAGCATATATAAAAATTAATAATTAAGTTTTAAATCAAAAGTGTATTACATAATCAAATCTATATATTTTTAAAATAATATAATATAATATTATATTCTCTATTAAAGTATCAATAAACCGAATAAATTATATTTGTATAATCTATTGAAATATATAATAATTTATATCATATTTTACAGTATATAAAAGTATTTTAGTAAACATATGTATGGATAAAATGTGTTCAAAAGTCATGGCTTTTATTATCAATTGAAAATTATTTTGCGGTCCATTTGCTACTAGTTTTTTTTATAGTTTTGCTGGACACATATTTTTATATCAATATTGTATATATATATACTGTATATACCGTATAATATATATACTTTCCTATATATTGTATAGATTGCTATTATATAGGTATACTGTAGTGACTATTGACTGGTTGATCAATAGCCACCTGATTCTGGATTTATTAGGGAAAAAATCTTACATCTCTTTTTTATATACTTTTTTCAAAAAGTGGTTATACTCTACAATACAGTATAACCAACCAATACCTATGATATAACCGACAAATTTATAGTCTTTTTTTGGTGCTGTTGTTGTTATTATTGTAGCAAAAGTCAGCATAAATTTTGGCTTATCTTTTCAAGTGATAGGTTTTTGTTTGGTGCTTACAATACAAATACTGTATATTTTGAATAGTGTCTCAATTATTTGTTTTTTACTTCAATAGCAATAAATTTATTAAATACTTTATATATTTTATTTTTTAATAATTATTCATATCGTGACATATATATTGATATATACCGCTATATAAATTATATATTTATAATAATAATAGATTATATAATATTTAGATTAATTTAGTTTATTTTTTTCAAACAAATATCCTTAATATATATGTTTACAGTTTTCAAAAAAAATCATAAATCATAAAATTAATGATATTATTATATTTCAATAGCGGCAAAATAGTCAATCATAAATAATATATAATAATAATAATAATGTAAATATCAAAATAAAATATAATAACAACAACAACAAAGTTTTCATATTCTTAAAATTACAATATATTTAATATACTGTATAGAAATATACAGTTAATAATGAAATATATGTCTGGGAAATGGAAAATATTTTTTTGTGTGTATTTTTTTACAAAAATCTAATAAATTTCAATTTAACAATTGAATTAAATTTTGTTGTTAAGAAAAATATATTTTATTTATTTTTTAAGTTATATTGTATATACATAAAAAATAAATAAATATAAATTATTTTAGTGTATCTAAGAGTGATTACATAAATTGATAATCAACAAGATTTTTGTTGTTGTTATTTAACTAAATAATTGTTAAAAATATTATCAGTGAAAAAAATGTAAAAACTGTTACTGAATTTTATAGTTGATATAAATTGAAATAAATTTAATTTTTTAAATATATATTTTTTTTATTATTTTCAAAAATCAATATTTTTTGGAATGAAATAATTTCTTATACAAAATATTCTTGAAATCTATTGAATGAATGGAATATTTTAAGAAAGAGAGATAGACTTAGATTCTGATTGAAAGTCAAATAAGTGACTTCACTATTACTATACAATATAAGTACAGTATATATATATATATATTCTGTATATATTCTGTACAATACTGTAGTATTGTATTAGTAGTCAAGTATTTTATTGTTGCTGTTATTGATGTTGAAAAGCGTTTGTCACTCATATTGATGGCCACAATATCATCCAAGACTTGTCTTGAATACCATAACTGATGAGAGAGAGAGAGAGAGAGAGAGAGAGAGAGTTGAAAAATGAGAGATTGCTCTAAAAATTTTTGATTATTTTTTCATTTTAGATGAATCCTATGAAATAATGAAATGAATTTAATGAAATAGAGAGAGAGAGAGAGAGAGAGAGAGAGAGAGAGAGAGAAAATAAATTATATTAAAGTAAATGTATGTATTTTATTTTGTTGGAAACATAAATTTAATAAAAACCCGAATCCAAATGCAATACGTTTACTGAATACTGTACAGTATATTATTAATGGTACACACATGTAGTTATTAAGGTATATGCAAACAAATATACTGAATGTACTGTACAGTTGTTATCATTATAGAAATTTACTTTTATATTTCGTAAGATTTTTAGTAATACTGTATTGATAAAATACTTTATTTTATATATAATTTTTTATATATTTAATTAAATCGATGAATGTTATATATATATATTGATATTATATACTCTCAAGGCCCACATATATAGAATTTATTAATAAATCTACTGTTCCCAATGGGTCAGTTGGGTTTAAGTGAAATTGGCTAATATTTTTTCAAAAACAACAACATCAAAAATTTTCAAATATCAATAGTCATGACATTCAAGATTATTTATTTCAAAATTTCTAGATTAAATAACATCCATTTAAATTATAGATTAAATATAGATTTTTTTTAATTACTTTTTACTTTAGATTACTTTAGATGAAAAAAATAATAATCATTAGTTAACATAAATATAGTAGAAAAATTAAATATGAAAATTTTAAATTAAAAATATAAATTTAGAATTTTTTAAAAATATAAATTTAGAATTTTTTAAAAATATAACTTTTCTTTAACTTATTATTTAATGGGAAATACATGAATAAAATAAAAAAAATTAAATTAATAGACGAAAAAAACATTTTTATTTTATTTTTGAGATACAATTTTAAACTATAGAAATTATATTTTGAACATTATTTTGACAATTAGTTAGGAAATCACACAAAACACATACAAATACATATGACATATATATATATATATACACACACACAACAAATAAAATTACTGATACATTAAATTTATAATAACAAAAATAATAATAATAATAATAAGTATTATCACATTTTAAACTAAAACTAAACATTGGAATGAATATAATAATTTGTTATTAAAGATATTAAAGTCAATATTTTCATTAAAAATTATTTTTATAACATTTAATAACATATAATAGATATATGATATCAATATATGAATAAATCTATAATAAGTGATTATGTATTGATAGCTTAATGTAGACTTGAAATATGAATTATAATTTTTATTTTTTAAAATCAATTTCTGTAATTGACTCAAATGTTATTATTATTATTACTATCATATTATTTATGAATATCACACTAATAAAATTAATATTATTTTTTAAAAATTATTTTTAAATTTCTCCAAAATATATAAACTAGTTATAAACAAATTAATTATTATTTCTAATTAAATAACTAATAAATAGTTAACATTTCTATCTCTAATATATTGATGAATTATATTTATTAATAATATCATATTTATAATATATTATTTTAATTATTAATAATTTTTTGATAATTTATTGAAATTGAAGGCAGTGAACATTAACATTAATAATACCTATTTTATATACTGTAGTAATGATATCAGTAATAATTGTATTATTAATTATAAGCAATATTTTCAAAATTCATTTAATATTTTCTGTTTAATAATAATAATAATCAAATTATTTAAATTTTTAATAATTCTGAATAAAATGCAAATGATTTATATATTTTGCGATTTCTTTTTTTTAAATAAAATCGTTGCTTTTCGTCAATTTTTAATTCAATCTTCTATTAATAATTATTATTATTTTTTAAAAATAAATCAATGTTATATTAGTTTCCAATGTCTTAATCAATGATAATAATAATAATAATAAAAATATATATATTTCTCCGATTAAATAATAAAATTATAAAAAAACAAATCTTAACAAAATAATAATAATATCAATAATAAAAATGTCAAGAATAATTAATTAATTAATTAATAATAATAATAATTATATAAACTGATTCACATAATTAATTATATGCCCTATTATTAGTCCTCTAAGTTTCTGAACGCTGTCTGCATATTCTCGTAGAGTTCATCAAAGTCTTTGCGGATCTGTGTCTCTCCATCTTTGACCGGATCCTAAACAATATATAGAGAGAGAATGAGAAACAACACATTAGAATTGACAGCAATGATAATCACCTCCTGATCTAAAACCCTTCCCCCTATCCATTACAAAAACCTACCTTAAACTTCATTGAGCTCAACTGGTAGAGTATGTCGCCCATAGCCTCTCTGATGGTGGCATAGGTGATCCTGTTCTCTCCCTGTGCTGTTGATTCGACTGCATGTTTGGCCAAATCGTAAAATGTAATCATATTCCTCAGGATACCAGAGGTCTTGTAAAACGGACAGAATCTGTCGTACGGTGTATAGGAATTTTGCTGAAGAAAGTCTTCCTGTAGAAGTTTGGCCACTTCTAGTGTAATTTTGTCGCTCTCGGCCAACGATGCCTTACCGACCAATTGTACGATTTCCGAGAGATCTTCTTCTTCTTGAAGAATTTGTTGACACTATTCCCGATGATCCACAAGTAAACAGAAAATAAAACAAAACAAACAAACAAATTATTAATTAGATTTCAATAATAAAAAACAAATATCAAAATATCAATTGATGTCTACCTTTATTCTGTAGGGAACAAAATCGGGATAATTTCGGTCATAAAATTCATCCAAAGCACGGGTGTATTTACTGTGTGAGACCAACCAATTGATTGACGGAAAGTGTTTTCGTTGTGCAAGTTTTTTGTCTAAACCCCAGAATACCTGTACGATACCCAACGTAGCCGATGTTACGGGATCGGAGAAGTCACCGCCGGGCGGCGAGACGGCACCCACAATGGATACACTACCCTCGCGTTCCGGATTACCAATACATTTAACACGACCGGCTCTTTCGTAGAATGAGGCTAACCGGGCGCTCAAGTAGGCCGGATAACCTGAGTCGGCAGGCATTTCGGCTAAACGACCAGAAATTTCACGCAACGCTTCGGCCCATCGAGAAGTGGAGTCAGCCATCATAGACACATTGTAGCCCATGTCTCGGAAATATTCGGCTAATGTAATACCAGTATAGATGGAAGCTTCACGGGCAGCGACCGGCATATTGGATGTGTTGGCCACTAGTGTGGTTCGTTTCATAATAGACTCGGTTTGTCCATCAACTTCGACAGTTAATTCAGGAAAATCGCGAAGTACTTCAGCCATTTCGTTGCCTCTTTCGCCGCAACCGACATAAATGATGACATCCGAGTTGGAGTACTTGGACAGCGCCTGCGAGATAACAGTTTTGCCGCAACCGAAAGCGCCGGGAATAGCGGTAGTACCGCCCTGGACACAGGGAAACAATGAGTCCAATACACGCTGGCCGGTCAATAGCGGATGATTGGCCGCCAACTTTTCGGTAACCGGTCGCATCTGTCGTACGGGCCAGACCTGCATCATCGTGTGCTTTGTCTTTTGGCCGTCAAATTCGGTCTCCAATACAATGTCCTAATATAAATAAATAATAATAATAATAATAATACAAAACACAATAAGTTAGGATTAAATAATATTAATAATAATAGGCATTAATAATTGAATTCAATTTTAACATTAAAAAAAATATCGGTAATAGTTAGTCTATTTAAAAAAAAAATAAAATTCAATGAATGAAATCATTGAAGCGCTAACTAATTACTGGCTTAACATTAACATTAAATTTTAACAATAAACTATAATAATAGGGTAATAATAATAATAATCATATTATAATAATTGTAATCAACAAAAAACAAGTAACAATGACCTCACTTTTAGATCTAAAGATTATTATATCAATAGATAAGCATTAAATAATAATACTGTAATAATTTTTTTTTATATATATATATAAATTGTATACATTTAAGTCATAATTTCCCGGTTCGGCGATATAGGTAACGGTTCCCTTGGCTCTGGGCGGCAATATTATCTTATGTTTGATGAGTGTATTTTCATGAACATAACCGAAAATATCGCCACCAGTTATATGGCTGCCTACGCGTACGTATTGGGGGAAAAAATCCCATTTAAGACTACGGGAGAGGGCAGTCGTATTGATGCCTTTAGGAATGTATATGCTTTGGGTGATATCGTGGATATCTCTCAATGGCCGCTGAATACCATCGAAAATGCTGCCCATAATACCGGGTCCGAGCTCTACGGACAGTGGTTTGCCTGTCCTGAGTACTGGATCGCCGACGGTTACGCCAGCTGTTTGTCAAATCAAATCCAAAAACAAGACAACAATTAATTAAAAACTTAATAATCAAAGAGCACAGGTAGTAGTAGTAGTAGTCTATCCATACATGTCTCCTCGTAGACTTGAATGGTGGCCATATCGCACTCAAGTCTAATAATTTCGCCGACCAATTCCTCGTGACCGACCCGTACTAACTCGTACATAGCGGCGCCGGACATCCTTTCGGCGGTAACGACTGGACCCGAAACGGCATAGACATAGCCGTATTCAGATTCTTTGTCCGCGTCCCGAACTTTCGATAAATTTTCCATTCGCTTAGCGGCACCGGCCTATCGGGTAATAAACACAAAAAAATAATTGTTAATTAATAAAATTAACTTAAATTAATTAATTAACTAAAAAATTAAAATCACAAAAATAAATAGATATTATCGATAAAATATATTTTATAATTTATTAGTTTTAATAAATAAATATTTACTGATTTTTAATTTAATATATTTGTTTAGGATTTTTATTTTTTTGTTGTTTTCTCTGTTATATTAAATATGTTTATTAAATATATTAATATTATAGATAAGTAATTATTATTAATAAAAAAATTAATATTTTTCCCCTTATTTTATTATTACATAATATTATTAATAATATATTTAAGAGAAATCCTCCCATTAATTAATATAGCGTTTATTTTTAATGACTTATAAAAATATTTATTTTTATATACAAATTATCGCTTAATTATTAGATAACAAGTAAATCAATTACATAGTCATAACTACTACTACTACTACTACTACTAACAACACATATAATAAATTCAATTAAAATGTTATATCATATAAAAAAAATTAAAAATAATTTTATGTCATAAACCAAAAAAAAAAATAAATAAATTATTTTTAAAATAAATAAAATAATTTTCGGCCAAAAAAACAATGAGTTCACATGAATAAGCATTTATTTTATTAATAAATTATTTTTTAAAAAAAATATATATATTTACCATTATTTCAGTGAATCAATTGGATTGATATTTAAACACTAAATGATAATAATTTTCAATAAAAAATTATTGTTGTTTTAAATAGATTTCAATATATTATTATTATTATTGCTTTGGTTTGTACTGTCGTGTTGTACACTGAAAAACACACTTATTATTAAATACAATGTATTTATTAATATAATAGTCAATAAAATGTTAGTAATTTTTTTTGTTGGACAATCAATTTAATTGATTGAATATATTTATTAAAATTTATTGACTATAATTATTATTATTTATTGACTGCAAAACACAATTATTATTATTATACAGACATACAGGCAATGGGTATCCAATGCTCCACTCATTTCATCTCAAAAAACGCCTCTTTTTTTATTCACTGATCAAACATTTTGTGTTTGGTTTTTCATATACTGTATAAAAATACTGTACATTGAATGCCATCTAATGTATTGCTGATTGTAAACTATATTTACTTAATAACTATTTGACATAATATATGGCAGCACTTATTGTGTGCTTATACTTTATATACCTGTTTCTACTGTTAATGTATGGTATAATAAAAAAATATAACTATTTAAAAAAATTAATTAATTTTATTATTTAGATTCAATATGTAACCGCCAAACAATTTTTTTTATTAATATATTTTTGTTAAAAATGTTGCGATACATCTATGGACAGTCTATTTGCTAATTAAGTTGATCTATGATTGAAAATCATGGTATCGATAGTATTTAGTGACTGTAATCACTGTATTAGTGTTTATTTAGTTTGGGTTTCTGTTGGACAGTAAGCTCCCTTAGAAAAGGGTATTGATTAAGCATACTATGGTTTTGTGTCATAGTAGCGATAATCCACTGGTAGGACCTGTCTCTATTATTATTTAGTGATAGTGTCCCTATCAGTGCAGAATCGTAATCAAGAGATTCTGGATACATAATTTTTTGAGGAAAGGGATGCCGATGGCAACTGTCCATTGGCGCCCATACAATACAATCCCAACAATAATAATCATAATTAATAACAGGTGCTTCACTAACACAAACAAAACAAAAAACTACAAATATATAATAATAATATATTTAAAGCTAAAGAGACAGTCAGATTAACTCAACATACACTAGGAATTACTATATGTATTGAACTCAATTAACTATTTATAATATTTAAGAGGAAAGAGAGAGAGAGAGAGAGAGAGAGAGAGAGAGAGAGAGAGAGAGAGAGAGAGAGAGAGAGAGAGAGAGAGAGAGACTGAGAAAAATTTAGTGAAGTTTTTTGTAGAGATGATGATTGAAAGTAAAAGTTGTTTAGAGGGCTAGCGATTAGTGGTGGTGTGTGAGTGAGTGTTGTCCTATCGGTGGTGTTGATGTAGTGCTACGTTTGAGTGCCGGTGCTGTGCCTGTTGTCAGATTGTTAATCATTATAAAAGGCCAGTGAGTGAGTGAGTGAGTGAATGAGTGAGTTAGGGGGAGAGGGAGAGAAAGACAGTGAGAAAGCCCTCAAATATAACCGTTCAAAACGTGTACTGAATTCTTCTTATAATCGAAAGTTGACAAACAATGCACTTGTAGTTAGAATGGGAGAGAGAGAGAGAGAGAGAGAGAGAGAGAGAGAGAGAGAGAGAGAGAGAGAGAGAGAGAGAGAGAGAGAAGGCCCAGTGTTTAAAAGCCATCATCTAAATAGTGTGAGCCCAATGAAATGAAAGTCCATTGCAAGAGAGCACATATATATATACACATACACTCACAGCACAATAATTTTCTTTATTGGTGCCAATAGTTTTGGTGGCTTTTTTAAAGAAAAACCCCTACACAAACAAAGTAGGATACATCCCGTCTCCCTTAAGGGCATCTCAAGCCATCACACATACATACTTGAAGAGAGAGAGAGAGAGAGAGAGCATACAGTTTGTTAACCTACTCTTCCCAAAGCAATTCATTTGTTGCTTCTCTTTAGCTATTACTGTAGTGATTGCCTGAGCACCAGCACCAGTACCAATACCAGTGCCAGAGTCAGTGCCAAAGCCAGTCCAACTACAGCCCAGTGCAGTGAAAGAACTGCTTAAAAGTTTTTCTTTTTATTTCAAAAATAAAGTCTCTCTTCAAAGACTATGTAAAGCCAGTGTTGAGGACATCCCATACTATATAACTTATATGCCTCTCACTTGTTGTTGTTGTTGTTGTTATGGACAATGAGTTCTACCATTTAGTTCAATGAATGTCTTGTTGTATGGATCGCCTTATGTGTCCATAAATAGGATTTTCTTATGTATGTCTCTGTATATGTGCTGTCGTTCCCAAAACATTCACTTTTATTAACATCCCAGTGCTCAACAACTATGTGAATGAATGTCTCTCTCATGAATTTATATATATATAACTTATATATATATTATATATATTATATATATTCATATCTCAATTAACCGATTACTTGTTCATATATGTAAAGTGAATGCAGCTCTCCTCCAGCCATTGCCTACCGTTCCCTCAGCTAAACTCTCTCTTTCTCTCTCTCTCTCATGGATGAGATAATAGCCCATAAAACATGATATTAGGATATATTGAATGACAACATCTAAAACAAAATGCTTATAAACCAGTTGTCAACCACTAGTAGTAGTAGTAGTAGTAGTAGTGATAATAAAGTTGTTTATAATAATAATAAACTTTTTTCAATGCAATGGTTTATTGCCTTAATTGTGCTAATAATCAGTTTGTCAAAGACGGTCACTACCGGTGCCGCCGCCGACACCAACAGCAAACGCAATGCCGAACCGCATCTCCAGTTCCTAACTGAGCCGAACTCACAGTTTGTGGCGCCCGACGGCGGCAGAGCAGTGTTCAAGTGTGTACCAGCGCCTGCCGGTGCCACCATTAACTGGCTTCACAATGGTGTACCACTGTATCAGAGCTCATCAGTGTTAAGGATATCCAGACACAAGTTGGTCCTTAAATTACCGAACAGTGTTAAACACGGCCAAACCGGTGGCGCTAACAGTGACAATATCTACGATTACCATAACTCTAGTAGTAGTGGTAATACTGTTGGCCAATTGCCAAACGACCAACAGGTTCATGTGTCCCAACTGCTATCGGGCGCCAACTTTCAGTGTATCGCCCAATACAAGGGTCGATCCATTATTAGTCAAACAGCCAAACTGATTGTCGCCGAGCTTAAGCCGTTTGCAAATAATTATTCAAAAAATTTAAGTCTAATAGCCATCGCTGGCAATACAGCTGTGATACCCTGTCAACCTCCTCATAGTGTTCCCAATGCCGTCACCGAGTTTGTGGTCAACAACTCGAAAATTATTGACAAAACCAGTGGTAATGACTTTATATACCGTATATATATATATATAAATATATATAATAACTATTATATAATTATTATTATATTTTACAAATCGTAATCTAAATTAAATCTTTAAATTTAAAAGAAAACATTTTCATTTAGATAATTACAGTAATTATTAGTAAAGTAATTAATTAAACATTTTTTTGATTAAAAGATTAGTCAAAAACCTAACTTATTATGAGTTTATGGGAAAAATACAAATAAGAGATTTAGTTATTTATAACAACAAAATTCAATTACAAGTAATTAATTATTTTTTTTTATTAATATTATAATTATTACTATTATTTATATTTATATAGAGAGATATCGTTTGATGCCATCCGGAGATTTGCAAATATTTTCAGTCGGCGAATCAGACGCTGGTATCTATCGATGTATAGCACACAACCCGTTCCTCCAGGAAAGGACATCTGAACACCATTACATTGAACTGACAGTTATACGACAGCCATCCTCCTCCTCCAGACATCACCACAATTCCAATAGTCAACGCAATCATAATCATCATAATAACAATCATCAACATTCACATCATCATCAGCTAAAGTTTGTGGTAATACCCAAAGCGCACGTTACAGCAGTTACCGGAAGTAATGTTACGTTTGAATGCGTGGCCAGCGGTAGTCCGATGCCGAAAATTGTCTGGAAAAGATCGGTCGGTCAATTGCCAAAGGGAAGGCATAGTATGGATGGAGGAAATCTGATATTGTCTAATGTTAGACGCGGTGACGACGGCACCTATGTATGCCATGCGGCTAATGGATCGCCAAATCATGCCATCAGTGCAAACTCGGTGCTGGAAATTCAGGAAATACCGCAATTTATGCGCAAAACTTTGATTGAAGAAAAAGAGGTGATGGAGGGCCAGGAAATCATACTCGAGTGCAGTACTAAAGGAAAGCCTAAACCGGTGGTCGACTGGTTTCACAATGGCGCTCAAGTGACACCCGAAGTGTCCAACAAAAATGGTATTGTTATCAAAGGAACCGACGGATCAAAGTTGTCAATATTGAACGCTAACAATCAGCTACACTCGGGTATCTATCAGTGCTTTGCGACCAATGATTTGGACTCGATATACGCAACCACTGTTGTTAATGTGGTCAGTCTGACCAAAACTCAAGACGCACCCGATGTTAGCGTTAATGTTAACAATAAGGAAAGTCCGATCAACGAAAGCGATAACGACGCCGATATTGTTGACAACACCGACGATCAGGAGATTGTTGACGAAGACGACGACCTATTCGATAGGCATCCGTCGCATCCGAAAAAAGGCAAAAACAAGAACAAAGGCATCAAAATGGTTCCGCCGACCAAACCAGAGGTGACTCGATTGAGTGAGGACTCGGTTATGGTCAGATGGGATGTACCGCAAAACGATGGTCTACCCATTTTGTTCTACAAAGTACAGCACCGAGAAATGGCCAACAAAAACAGCGACTGGAATACAGTGGACGACGACATCGCACCGCACATCCACTCTTACGCTGTCGGCGGACTCAAATCGGGTATGAAATACCGGTTCCGGATTGCAGCTGTCTATTCAAACAACGACAACAAATTGAGTCCAAACTCGATAAAGTTTACATTGTTTAAGGAGCCGCCGATGAAGAAGCCAATCAATGGTCCGGTCATAGTTCACGCCGAACCGGTCAGCCAGTCGGCCATAACCATCAAATGGGACCATTACGATATCGATCACGTGTCGATCGATGGCTTTTTTATTTACTATCGGCCGTCCGATTTTGCCGGCGACTATTACAAGGTGGCTGTAATGGGTGCCATCACCCGATCGCATATTATCACCCATTTGTTACCAGACAAACAGTACGACATTAAGATGCAGTGTTTCAATGTGGCCGGCACTTCCGAGTTTTCCAATATCTTTATGGTTAAGACACTGCCGAAGATTGATACCAACAAAGAAAAAGAAAACAAAAAGAACAAAGAAATTGATAACAATAACATTGGCAACGGTATCGGTCCGGTAACTGGCGATAAAGACAAGACACTGTACACTGTTGTCTTCATCACTAGTGGTGCACTTATATTGGTGTTTGTTGTCTGTATTTGTTTGTGTTTTGTGCGCCACAAAAACCAGACGCCGCGGTCAAAGGGTTCGACAACAAAGTTGCCGAAAGAGAAACACCCGAAAGCCGGTGGCGGCGGTGCCAACAATCACAACAGTTTGTTTAGTCACAGCAATCATACGATATTTGCCGCACATCACCGTTCAAATGGTCACATATCCAATACACTGATAGGTGCCGCCGCATCCAATGGCTATCTGTCCAGATCGTCGATGATGGACAACAACGAGCCGTATCCGCACAATGTCAACATAAGAGTGAATCCATTCTGTGAGATATCCAATGGCGGCTCAACACTGAATAGGACGGCATCTATTAATGGCAGTCTTCGGTCAAAGAGCATATCGCAGCATCACTTGTCGTCTACCGCCGCTTCCGTGACTAACAATAACGAGTCGTCAGTGGATGTGCCGCTGTCGATGAGTACAATGGAAAGGCGCAAACTGAAGCGCACCACCGATGACCACTATCCGGGATCGACGCTCAATCATAGCAGCTCACGGCTAAACCATCACCAGCATCAACAGCACAGTACGTCGTTTACCCGACTGAATGGTACACTAGAAAGGAAACGGCGAAGTAGGACTGACCTGTTGAACGCCGGCACCGACAACAATAACAGCAGGTCCGACAACCGGGACAACCATAATAATCACAATCATCACGAGTCCATCATTACCAACAATAAGTGTAACGGATTGTTGCATAATTCTGTCAGCAATGGACCACTTGTGATAATGCAGAGCTCATGTTAGGACACCATTGAATAGGTGTCTGGATGGTTGAAATTCACTTGAGCTGATCCATACATACAATTTGGTTAGTTATTTGATCAAAATATCTCTCGCAAGTGTATCATAAATATATATATATAATACATAATGAACTGAATGGTCAACAATGAAAGTCTTTTTATTTAGTGAAACAAAACAAATAATTATTATTTATATATATATTTAATTTAAATAAATTTTTTTTAAAAAAAAGTTTGATAAATAAGTTATATTATTTATATATAAATTCTGTTAATTTAATTAATTAATTATTTCATTGATAATCTGTCTATAATTTTGTAATTATTATTATTATATTTTTTGTTTTTTTTTAAAAATGATCTGTAACATATTATACGTATAACAAATTGTGAATTTTTACACCTATGCTAACAAACAAACAAAAATATACATACAATCATATATTTATATTTAAAAAGCTAACCATTAGTTTATTTTATTTGTTTTTGTGGTCAATAATTTGTGTTAAGTCACGTACCAGACATGGCTTCAAAATTTACAAAAATAAGTTAAAACTAAAAAAAAATCTTTTAAAATACTATATGTAATTTTATTATTATATTTGTACATATATTTTTAGATATATATATATATATTTAAAGTTAATATTAATTTATAAAAAACAAACAATAATATTCACATCTAAATAATTATTAGTAATATTTAATTAATAGCATGAAAATGACTTTTAGTTTTGTTAATATTAATAAGTTATAAAAAATAAAATAAAAATCGTTTCATATAATGTTGTATATATATTTGCACCCTTAAAAATTTGTAATAGGATACTATTATAAATATGTTTAAAATATTTTTATTTCAAAATTTCAAGTGCCTTAAATAAATAAATAAACAAAATATAATTTTTAAAAATGCATTTTTTAAATAATTGTCTATGATTTTTCTATATATCTATCTAAAAATATAAATAAATATATTTTAATGACATATCACTCTATCATTACGAGTACTACTGTTTATTTATTTTTTATATAAATAATTTTAAGGTACACCTAATATTTGGTTTATTTCAACAACAAAAATCATTATTATTATTATTATCATTATCATCATTATTATGATACATATATGATGATAACAAGTTAATGTTCACTGTACTGTAGTGTATATATATATATATACTCTATTAATATAAAAATTTATGACAACTGCAAACCCCATATATAATTGTTTAGCACACTATGTGTTATAATAGGCAGGGTCGTATTACATGACATTGGAGGGGTCATCAAATTAGAGAGAGAGAGAGAGAGAGAGAAAGAGAGAGAGAGAAAGAAAGAGAGAGAGAGAGAGAGAGAGAGAGAGAGAGAGGGGGGACATCAATTGAAATAAAATAAATTTCTCTACTTTACACTAATAATAGTCTAACAATGCAGACACACAAACACATAGAGTGGAAATAATTTTGATTACTTGATATAATATTTGAGCTGACAATGCCCTGGAATATACAATAACATTAAAATGTTTAAAATGTATTATAAATTATTTGATTTGATAAGCATATACTACTGACTGACGATAAGCATACAATTTAATATGCCTTTTTAACTATAAACTACTTTATCTATATATATGTGTGTTTGTGTGCATAAAAAATATATTTAAAAATTATAAATTTACTAAACAATTTTAAAACTAACTAATTGATAAAAACAAGTGATATATATTAGAGATGGAAACAAAAAAAAATATTTTTTAAAAATTATAGTAAATGTATTATATATTATATTTGCTTATTATAAATGCCTAAAGGCGTAGGGACTACTCATTATGTTATCATTAAAACATTTTAAAAAAAACTATTTATTCAGTCTAATAATATTAAATAACATTTACATACAGTATAAATAAAATTTTCAAAAAATGTTTGACATATTATTTCTATACTATAGTCTTATCTAAAGAGAGAGAGAGAGAGAGAGAGAGAGAGAGAGAGAGAGAGAAAGAGAGAGAGAAAGAAAACTTGATGTTAACGATTGATAAGACATTTAGTTGTCAAATTGATGTGACTGTTTGCTGCCATTGACTATCATTAATTTACAATTGATAATATCGATTTTGTTTTTTAAAAAATATAAAACTATCTAAACATGTGCACATTTTTTGATGATCACTGCCCACATTGCACGCTATCTCTCTCTCTCTCTCTCTCTCTCTCTAATTTTGTTTTGTTCAAGTTTAATTTTACCAAATTTGTTAATATAAAAAAATGCTACTGTAATAAAAATTGTACAAGTTGCATTTATATTATTATTATTACTAATATTATTCACATACAATTAAAATTTGTAAACATTTTTTTCTAAAAATAGCAAATATAACAACATGTAATGAAATCTTGTTTAACATTTTTTTTTAGAAAATCAAAACATATTTATTTTATTGTACAATAAATGTCATAAAAATAAATTATAATTTCATATATGATTTCCTAATATATGCTTTCGCTCTCTCTCTCTCTCTCTCTCTCTCTCTCTCTCTCTCTCTCTCTCTCTCTATCTCTCTCCTCACTCATCTATTAATAATTTTTTGTATATGATATACATATATTAAAAATAAATTTATTAAGTATGTGAGTGAGTGAGTGTGTGTGTGTTTATCTTTTATTCAAACAGCATAACTTTTAAAAAAAAAAAATATTTAATTACACATTCAATATGAGAAAGCAAGTGAAGTGGTTTAATGTCTGTGAAATTCCCATTAGATATCTATTTTAAAAAGTCTAAGCTGACACATACCAGTGCCGTCAAACGATTGACATTTGAAATATTTCATAGACATCGACGTACACACACACACACACACAACACACACACACACACACACACACACACACACACACACACACACACACACACACACACACAAACACATACATACAAAGATGTATAGATATTTTAAACTACAACTAGCTTTTCATCGACAAAACTAAAAACTTTACTACAATAGTGTATATCATATACATATATTTATATATATATATATATATATTATAATAGCTGTTATAATGTTAGCAAACTTTTGTATTATACATTGTATTATAGTTAAGAAGCACTGGTAGTTTGAGAGAAAGAGAGTCCGGTTCATTTGAGTTTGAAATAGAAATGTGTTGTTTAAAAGTTTGAAACTATACTTTTGGCTTTGGATTTAAAATGTTTTTCAAATAATGTTTTTATGACAATAACCGTTTGGGTTATAATACATTTTTTTCAGATAGAAAATTGAGTGAGTGAGTGAGTGAGTGAGTGAGTGTGTGTGTGTGTGTGTGTGTGTGTGTGTGTGTGTGAGAGAGAGAGAGAGAGAGAGAGAGAGTACAGTATTGTTATGCCTAACGATTTACAACTTATGTATTTCTAAATCCTTTAACAATTATTGTAAATCTCTCTCTCTCTCCTTTAAAATTAAGATTTTGTGCCAAAACTTAACGACGATATTATTAGCACTTATAGCCTCTCTTTCAGTTTTTTTCTTTATTTTTCATTCATCCACTAAATAATATGACTAATAAATATTAATATAATAATAATAAAATTCATGTAATATTCATCGGGTTTGCTAATGAGCTGATGTCGTCGTTTAAATAACAACAACAAAAATATACACATATTTGTCTTAAAACAAAGAGATAGTGATAAAACTTGTTGTTTTGAGCGATCATTTGTTGAATTATTCAAAATACATACATATATAATATATATAAACAGTACATACATATACTGTATAACGTATATATATATATATATATATATAATATACGGGGTAATTGATGGCTGCCTTTCCACCCCAATTGGGGTGAGAATGTGTTGCTGGGCTATGTGTTAGCAACACATTCATGTACTGTATATACGGTATATATATTTGACGCATATATATACGGTATTTATATATCTATAGGTTTGTAACTTATAATGTGTAGACATGTTTGTGAATGCGGGACCACTTTCTCTCTCTCTCTCTCTTTCTCTGACCGCATGTATGTACTGTACATTCATTTGATATATTTTACATACCATACCTTACCTTACCTTACATTACATTTTGTAAAAATTGAAGGCTAAATAACTTTTCGCTGCTTAAAAGTTAATAATATGTGAACAGATATTTTTAAGTAATGTTATATATGATATATAAGTTATTTTGCATTATCATTATAACGTATTTTTTCGTACAAATTAAAAAAAATGATATTACTGTATAACTTATATGTAATAATAATATGTGATATGAATTGAACATTGAATATTACATACAACTATTTTCTGCTTTATATGATATATATAAAACTATTTGATTTTTATTTTTTTTAAAAAAAGATATAAATAAATTTATGCGGTATGTGATAGTTATTATCATTATTACTATTAAACATACAAAAAATATAAATAAAACATAATTTCATGCATTCATTTAAATGCGTGCTTTTATATTATACCTGTAGTACAGTATATTCATCATTCATAATCATCAATTGATTTGATGTTTTATTGATGTATTGAATGATAATTTATCAAAAAAATGTTTATATACAATATAAATAATACAAAAATTTATGCATCACTTGAGATGAAAAATGTTTTTCAAAAAAAATATATATATAATATTTTTTTGCTTTATTCTCAATAGATTATCAATAAAAATGTTCAACAAATTTCAATAGAGAGCAGAGAGAGAGAGAGAGAGAGGCCTATTGTAGAGGAGTGGGTGAGTGTGTAAGTTGGGTATTACAGGTATTACCTACCAAATTGATAGACAGCCAAATTTGTTTGTCACGATCAACACTCCATAATATATATAATATATACACACAATAAAAGACAAGTTTGTGTGCCTCTCAAGTGAAAAAAAACCATTCAATACATTTATGCCACAAATATATTTATATTTATACACATATACAGGTATATAAATATAAATATATATATATATATATATATAACATAACTTAAACTATAGTATGAATATAAATGTCTATTGAGATATAAAGTC